TTCCCTCAATTCTTCTATTGTTTTTCTCCCTCCACTCTTCTTCCCCGCTCCATTCAAGCCGGCCTCCAAAGACCTCCTACCATCAGCTCCCTCATCCACATCATCAGATGATAAAAACGAGGGTTTGGAAGCGTACCATGGAGCCTGCACACCCTTTCCAACAAGACCATACCCCAGCTTATACTTCTCATCCTCCGGCGGAACCTTCACCGGGGCATCCTCCCTTCTTCTCTTCTTGCTGCTCTTCGAACCTGCATCCTCCGCCACTTCCCTAGCCTTTTTCATCCCGCTGCAACCACTCTCTTCGACGCCAGCGAGGGAGGAGAAGCCCGTTAAGCCATCGAAGAGATTAATGTGACGGGAATCGGCTTCAGCAGTGGAAGATTTCGAGGAAGAAGATACGGAGGTAGAATTAGGTAAACCGCGGGCTTCGCGTAGTCTCTCGATGCGGAATTCCAAATCTCGGCGGCGAGACTGTTCGCGTTTAAGCTGCTCTTCGCGAGCTGCAGCCGCTTCGTCTTGCCGAACCTTCTCGCGATTCTCATAGTTGTAGACGTTCCACTTCTTCTGCGGGAGGATGTTGAGACCTCCGTGGCCTCCCATCCCTCGCCCTCTTATGCTGTGGGAAAATGATCTAGGGTTTCAGACAGATTAGGGAAGAGAGGAAGGCGGAGGAAAACGCAAACGAAAAAGATGAACTTTGGCAGAAAAATCACGAGCCTTAAAAATTTTATTATTATTATTTTTATAATATCACATAATATTTATCATAAAATAGCTCATGTAAAATCGATATTATTGTTGAATAAAAGAAAATAAAAAAGAAGCATCAAATCCTGATTTAAATTGAATTAAAATATTTTTTCTCTAATTTAAATCAAATAATAATTAAATTTTGATTAAATGATATCTAATAATTATAATAGTTATTTTTATTAAAATTTTCTCCTAAAAATTATTATTATTTAGTTGTGATTTTATTTATTACTCATTTGAAGTGTTAATTTGAATCGACTATTTTCTAGTGCTTATGTTGGATCATTTTTAGTTTATGTTTTTTTATTTTTTATTAATTTTTCACTTTTATTTTTAAAAACATTGTTTGGAGCATTTTTTATGATTTGTTATTATTAAAAAATTTATAATATATCAAATATATTTGATTTTAAGTACAAATTTAAGCAAAATTAAATAAAATTTAAATAAAATAAATCTAAAAAATGAACCTAACCATATCTATAAAAATAAAACTAAAGTGTTTTAATGTTTAGAAATAATATTAATCTCATACTTACCATGATAAAATAGGTCATTAGTAAATTTTATAAATTAGTTGATAACTAGTGTTCTGTTTTACTTAGGTAAGAGCTTTGGTAAATATTGAATTCTGATTTGTCTTATTGAATCACACCCAATAATTAGAGTGTAAGTAAAGAGGGAGAGAGTGAATAATAATAAATACTAATTGATTGTCGTATTCATAAAATAATTCCTCTATTTATAAAAGAGATAGTACAACAAGAAGATATTACATTATGCCCTTCCTTTAAAGTGGTCAGTTTTAGGGTATTTTTAGCTTTGTTTGAGTGAGCTTTTTTCCCTTTATAGAAGTTCATTCAAAAGAAACTTAAAAAAAAATAAATATTAGTATAAAGTTGTGGTTGCTAAAGTCAACACCACTATTTGAATAAAAAACTTTTTATGTGCTCTTTAACTATATTTAGAGAAATAATAATGATTATTGCAGTTTGTCGAATGATGTCTCTGTTATTACAAGTTTTTGTCTCTCTTCCCCTCTTAATAATCTAATATGTACGCAACTCTGCGTATGTATTATGTATGCAAATATTTCTCCAAAACTTGAGGTGCAAGCAGCAGCAGAAAAGGAAAGAGAAGGAGGTTGCGATTGAAAGAGAAGTAGAAGTTCCTTCATCTCTCACCTTTTTGTGTTTTTCTTTAACAAAATAGAGGAAAGAAGCCGAAGGCAGTGGAACGTAGCAAGGCATGGGCAATAAAATGTGGGAAAAATGTCGTTGCGTTGGAATAAAATATTGGAGAAGCCGCTTATCTAAACAAATGCCTCGCGTTTTATCCACCTTATGCGGAATGCAACAAAGGCTATGAACAACTTCAGATGAAGTCTTAGTATTTCAATGGTATTGTCTGGCTGCTTTCTAGCTCGGGTGGTTGAGCTTACTTGGCTTTGAGTCGGCAGGGTCAGCTCCATCAGCCGAGTTTGCTCGGTATGAGCGAGTCGGTTGATTCGGCCTGGCTGACAATCCTTAATCCCTGGTGAAGAACTTATGGGGCGTCTCTCC